CATAGATCGCTAAGTTGCGTAACTCCACTCTTAATCCAGTGGGGAAACAAGAGTGGTCGCCCTGCGCATTGTATACGTGGATTGAGGAAGAGTGGTTGGGCTAAGACAGTAGGGAGATTGTTTGCTATTTGGGTCGTGAGGTGAGGGTGTAGTTTCTTCCAGGCGAGTAGGAGCTCGCGGTGGAATTGTGGGATAGAGAGGTCGATGTGTTGGGATTGATAGGTTGTAGAGAGTGTAAGGGCACCGAGATTTTGGTTTGCGGTGCGCAGGTAATATGTTATGAAATGCTTCCATGCCGCCTGGTCGGGATCTAGATAGCGCCGTAGAGTGGACAAGTGGAGGGCGGTAGTTTTGGGGCCTAAACGGTGGATGTTAAATCCTCCTTGATCGCTTGGGGTCGCCAGTGTCTCTCATTTAACCAGGTGCATTTTGTTCGACCAGATGGGATGACCACTACACTATCAGGACAACCATGCTGGCAACACGGCAATGGAAGATGTGATTTACGTGATCGGAGACGTGGTCTCCCGGGAAACTTAATTTTCAAGGGGACAGGGTAGGGGAAGCCTATAACCCCATATGAAACCCAACTAAGGATCTATTAAAGATACACGACCGAAGTCAACTTAGCCTATGACAAAGGAGGATCCAATTACGGATACAGGCTAATTTCAATTAAACAAATTCTGTATACGAGGGAAACCCTGACCCTGTACACCCCACGTAACAGTGATTACTTAGCTTTGCAAGAGGCATGAAACTCAAAGTTGCAGTAAAAGTTCAAGTAACCTAAATCTTGAAGTATAATTATCCATAGCTCTAGCCCTGCTATTGAGCACTTTTTAGTAGATGATGATCTCATTCCGCTATTTTGGTTATGGATATATGACCCTCACTCCTATTGGCATTAAGATGACTCTTACAACCTTAATTCAACCGATAACCTTTATTTATTTGGTTTATTTCTCATATTTACAAGTTGTTGAGGTAAAGTTAGGAGACTGTTGTTAAATAACTAAATGCTAATCAATGCAAACCTCAGATTGAGAGGTGACACTTTCAAAATTACTCTTCCCACTGATGGACAGACGCATCCTGAACCTTTCTGGAGTTGAGGTATCCTATTCAGTACTCAAGAATACATCAGTGATACTTAGATTAGCAGGGATACTTAGTTTAGTTTGCACATATGAAGCAAAGTTACCAATAAGTATAGCAAACTTTATTCCTAGTACTAANCCAACCTTTGTGGTATCGTCTAAGCCATGCCAGAGTGCTCAAACTAGAAAAGCCTAGTGAGCTATGTACAATGCTAGCGGCAATGACTCATCCCACAGTGCTCAATTTGGACATGAAAGCAGAGCTTTATATGCCAAAGAGCTATATATATGATATACTCGGAATGTTTATAAAGAAAATCTTATTGAACTTCTAAAACTCTACGAAGAAGAGGAAATGGTAGAGAATCGAATTGTTACACTTAACAATCGTTCCGCTGCTTGCTGGCTTTCATATATCAAAGTCCTATTAAGTCCCAAAAGGAAGCTTCGACCAGGAGTGGGATACATTTCAAAACAACCCTCTCCAATTCGACGACGAAGAACAGATAATTTTCACCGGCTGGGTTGAGTATTGGTAGGAATGTCATTACAAAAGTTGATGAAGATCTGTTTTTTTTTTCTAGAGCCAGTGATGAAGCTTCTGTGGATGTTCGTGATACTCGGGATGGTATATGGAGGAAAAATTGTGGAATTTGACACTTCTGATACTTCGTAAGTAAATGAGCTTATCACTTCGATGACTTAATATTACGAATCGTGAATCAAACTAATGCAAGACCCATGCAAAGTTGCAATAATAAGAAATTCGAAAGGCATTACTTTTTTAGATGTAGAAATTAGGCGTTTTAAGAACGGATATATGCAGAATACACGCAAATATTAGACTGTTTGACAACCATGTTTTGGGAGTCATTATATCACACCCCCTGGTTATTATCACTAGATAAGTCTGCTAAAACTATGGGTGAGCTATACAATGACCTCTAAATGTTATCACGAAAAGGATTTTTATTCTAGACAGTATATTCTCCTCGTACATCGATTGCGCGCTGAACTTTGCAACCTCCAACAAGATCGTGTGCGAGTTCCAATTGACAAACAACGATAAACGAGACTATTCAGTGCTAAAATGGCGTACACCGCTGGATGGACTGAGATCTGATTGCCTGACGGTCACCTCCAATGGCAAAAAGCTACGGTACGATGGTATCCACTTAAAGCGCTCCGCCGCTGGTCCTAAGCACTACTTGCTCATCAAAGCCGGACAAACAGTGTTATCTACTTTTGATGTTTCAGATGCCTACGACATGACCAAAGCTGGCCTGTACTCTATAGCAGTGGACACTTATTTAGAATATGTAAAGAGTAGTTTAAATGAAAAGCCAGTGAGCCAGACTAAGATAGAACATTTATCATCCCCTGCCGTAAGTTATGAAGTCGATGAAACGAGTTTCATCGAAGAAACCTCGGGCCAAAGGGTGCGCACTGAAGAGAGCGTGACCAAGGGTGCTTAGGAGGAACACTTTTTTAAAAAAAGGGGCCAGGATCTGAAGGCATCTCTTAAGTACGTAATAAAGGGAGGGCCCTCGGACGTGACAAGGGAAACAGAACTTGCTATTGTAGCTGTATTCAATAACATTAAGTCAGCCATTCAAGACCTCGAGAATAATAACGCAAGAGCTAAAACTTGGTTCGGATCTTCCCCCATTGACGAACCTAAGTCTGTTTTTGAAAAAATGGAACGAGTATTATCAAAGGATAGAATTGCCTACATTATTGACGGAAGAGAATGCGAAGAAGGGGATTATGCTTACGCTTACACTGGAACACGACGAGTCTTCCTTTGCAAATTGTACAGCGCTGCCGACCCGTTGATTGGGTTTGACACAAAAATGGGGATTATAGTTCATGAATTAGGACACGCTATTTCTCGTAAGGACGACATAGTATACGGCAGAACTGCTTGTAAACAGCTCGCTATAAAATATCCAAAAGCTGCTCTGAATAATGCTGAGAATTACGAATATTTTGTGGAAAGTGGAACAATTCCAATTCCATAATCATTTGATGACCTATCAGATGCTTTTGGAAGGGGACGAGAAGGGAGTGGGGGAGGGGAGGGTGGGGGTAGGGCTTTAGCGTTCTACACTAGGACGACCATATGAAATTTTTCTCAGGCAATAGCTGTATGGAATGGTAGAGATATATTTGTTGAAGCGTGGAAAAAGGGGCAAATGTCATTAGCGTGTTTTAAGGTTTGAACTGTTGATGTTATGGGTTTTATTTTGTACCTAAGAGAATCGTGTAATTACTGTTTTTGCAGCAATTGTCCATTTTAATATGATCTTTCAAATGTGAAACTGATTCAATGTTTATTTCCCTGTAGTCAAGGCCCGAAACTGCGCTGACCTTTTCAAGTCTGGTGAGAGAATCAGTGGAGTGTACACTTA